TTTTAAAATTTTAAAGTTGTAATTTTGAAATTGTAATTAAAATTGTAGTTAAATTGAATGAATTCTAACCTAAATTTCTTTTGAATAATACTACACGCACTAAAAAGAATCCAAAAAAAACACCTATTGTAAAATAAAATTAATATGAAATGCCATAAGATGTGAGCTTTTGGGTGACCCATGTCCTTGGTACTTACATGAGAAGCATTATAATACTAGGTTTATATATAAAATAAAAGTTTACTGAATCAGTGAAATTAAGTAACCATTTTTGCCGTCATAGTCATAAATTTAAAAAAAAAAAAAAAATGTGACCTCATATACATACTTGGACTTGATGTTAAAATGGTCCTACATGGTATAATGGATTCTAATACATTTAACTGTTCTTAAAAAGAATATAGTGGGATAGGGGTTGAAGAGGAGAATATTTCAAATCGTAGTTAAATAAAAAGTATTAGGAAAAAAAAAAAAAACCGAAAATCTTTAAATTTAAAAAATGACGTTGAAATTTTTTTACCGTTAACAATTTTTTAAAAAAAATTCAGACGACATCCATTCAACTGATGTCAGGTTTCATCGCAAAATACATCCCTACCCCTTACCAAATTGTAGCTAATAACTGATACAATGATACTGAGATAAGGAAAATCTAGACATCCCTTGTTCAATTTAAGTAGAATATTCTGTAACCATGGAAACGTGATTTTAGCTGTGTCTTTAAAACCCGGTAATTTTTAAAAGTTACTCCAAAATTCGCTTGAAGATGAAATGGAACGAATGCTTTTAATTTAATTGCAAAATTAAATTCGGGGTGTTTAGCTTCTATTTTTGAAACATGGTTGGAACTGTGTAGCGAAAAACCATATTTTAAATCAATTAATTTATAATATATATATATATATATATATATATATATATATATATATATATATTCACACAAAAAAGGAAAACTTTTCTTTACTAACGCGTTCATCACCTGTGAGGTTTTATTTTGTAGCTTGTATTTATAAACAGAAGTAAATCGGGGGTAAAATATCGTTAAATTTTCAAATTTTAAATTTAAGAACGCTCTTATTCTTAAAACTAACGGTGGAAGGATAAATAAACTATGGAGGGCACTAAGTGATGTAATTTATTAACTAATAAATGAAAGCGAGTAAATGTTGTTGATATTGAATTTTTATTCATTTATTTATTTGTTTTTAAATTCATTATAATTTTATTTTATTTTGATAAGTTATTTATGTATTCATATTTTCAAATATTCGGAATTTTTAAAAAATATCTCAATTCATAAATAAATAAATAAATATTCATTTCCCAAGGCAACATACGTGAACCTCATTTTTTAAATTAAAAGAAAACGATTAAATTGAGACCTTTTTTTTAAATATTTAAAATAAATAAACACATAAATAAATAATTCATCAAAATAAAATAAATAAAAATTGCATTAAAAAATTAATAAATGATTAAAAATTAAAACTTTCATTTACATTGTCTTTGCAGATATACTTTAATGATATTTGAATGTTTACATATATATATATATATATATATATATATATATATATATATATATATATATATACTTTGGCTAATTGTAAATAAGGTATCTTAATTCCAACTGTAAAGAAAATTTGCCCTGTTTAATGAAAATAAAATTGAGCGCTCTTTTGTGAGTGAGTTTTAACATATTTCAAATATTCTATGTTGTGTTAACAACGGATTACTACCTATATATATATATATATATATATATATATATATATATATATATATATATATATATATATATATATATGGGCTTCACTAGTTGTTTATGAATCCTGTAATACTATGGTCAATATATACCTATGGAATCATACAGACCGCAAATTTTGTAAATACAGTTTAACGGCGACCTGATTTGAATCTGATATACGCAAGTACTTTCGACTCTACATTCAGTCATCTTCAGGCATGGAAATTATTTTATTCTTGTTAAAATAAAAACGCACTCACTTAAATTTTCAAAAAAATCAGCCTTGGCGTTGCGACTACACGCTCCACAAGTTTGTATCCGTTATCAATAACACATTTTAAAAAAAAAAAAACATATTTCGATTCGCATTATATTTTTCGTCTCGGATGCTACCTGAATTTTACCAAAAACAAAATAATTTCGATGCCAGAAGATGACTGAATGTACAGTCGAAAGTACTTGCGTATTTAAGGGAGACCTAATACAGTTTATAATTTTAAAAAACAAGGATCATGATTGGTAGGTTAATGCATCTTTAAAATTTTGTTAGCGAAGGGATATCATTAACTTTACTAATTTACTTTTTGTATGAATGATTCATTGTAATATATATATATATATATATATATATATATATATATATATATATGTGTGTGTGTGTGTGTGTGTGTGTGTGTGTGTGTGTGTGTATATATATATGTAATATATATATATGTGTGTGTAATATATTATATATATTATTATTTATATATTATATGCGCGGTACTTATTAGAAAGTGCTCAATATCAGAGATAGAGCTAACATAACAAACTCACATCAATCCAAATAATATATATATATATATATATATATATATATATATATGTTAGTTAACTATATATAATAAGAAGCAATAATAAGAAGTAATACCTAAACTTTAAAATGCATTTTAAAAATGAAAAATCTTTCTTGAAGCTTTTATTTTAATTTAATTCCAAGCTAATAGATTAAATTTAACATTTCTTATAAATAAAATACTTTACTGTATTTAAAACCGAATTTAAATTGATTGGAATGATTTTCCTTATGAAATCGCTAAAATCGCTGATATTGGGCATATTCACAAATCTGTCAATAAAACATAATTCTCTTCAGTGAAAAATATTTCAATAATAAAATATACTTATCTAAAACTTTTTTTGAGGAAGATTAACTGATTTAAATTATAATTAATCTGAATTAAAACAAATTACTTTTAGTTTAAAATATCACTGAAAAGTATTTTTAACACGGGGGTGGGTGTTTTTATGAAGAGTTAACAGATGTATCGATAGCTTAAGATTTGGCAATTTTAAGTAAAGAGCACTTAACTGTACAAATTACATAACGAATATAACGTGAACATCTTTTTATATTGTCTTTTAACTACACAGTAAACTTAAAAAAGGAGGAAAATATTATGAGTAATGTAGTATTTTATTGAATTTGGCTTTCTAGTTTTACTTACAAAGATACTTGTTGAGGAAATGTTAGAAATTTACCAATAATTTACTATAGTTACTGCTCTTATTTTTTGATAATGTTGCGTATTTTACAAAAATCACACAAAAAATATTATAAATTCTTTTTAAAATAATGGAAGTCGCTGAAATGTTGTGAACGTTTCCTTATTTGATTAATAAATATAGTTTTACTTAATAACAATATCACCTAACCGTTGCAAATTTATACATAAATTTAAAAGAAAATTGATTAAAAAATAATAACAATTCATGTAAAAATTTATCATAAAAATGTTTTATATTAAGACAATTGTGTTCATAACATATCTTATTCATAAAAGCAATTAAAAACTTTTCTAACAATAATGTCTTAGTTTGCATTTTACAATTCAGTGTAGATATATCCTGTTTGGAAAATAAAATTTAATTATTTAAATTCTTCACGCGCTTGTTCTTATAACTAATTAAGCGCTACAAAAATTAATTTCTCGAGGTAGGTAACAGATGTAAAAAATAAATTTATAAAGATTTTTTAAAAAAGAAACTTTTCTAAAATAATTTTATTCATTTGTGAATAAATCCTGAAAGCTTCATTAAATTCGACAATTTTTTGCAAGAATTTCCAAATCAATATGTTTTTTGACCGTATAAAATTTATGCCCCATCCCCCATTAACGCAAGAAAGCAAAATATTTCACCAAAATTTCGAAGGTTCTAAAAAGGTTTAAAAAAATATAATTTAATATAAAAAATACTTTAATGTTGGACGATAAAACATTCTTTTAAGGGGCATTTTTCATCATGTATACACATTTTTTGCGAATCTTTGATATATATATATATATATATATATATATATATATATATATATAAATTAAAAAATGATCTAATTCACGTCTCCTTTTCTGTCTAACAATATATATTTGACCTAGTCTATATTTCCACTACTCTTTCCATTTATATCATGTTTGACATAGTAGAACGATGTATCAGCAAATTAATTTTTTTCATTCTCCATTTCACAGTCAGTACGCCAAGATTCTGGCAACTAAGTGAAGATAGCACTTTACACGAAAAACAATGAACAAAAATTTTTTTAAAAAAAAACAGACATTGCACGTTGGAAAGAAATTAGAAGAAGATAGTGATAGAAGAAGAGTATATATGACATATTATACTTGAACTGATAAAAGTTGAAAACGAATGACGTCATAGTTGAGAGTTAAAACCAAAATACTTAGATGCACAAGTATTCAGCCGGGTTTCGATCCTAGCTAGACGCAACCGGACGTCTAGCCACACTTATGAGCTGTGATACAGCGAAACCGTCTCTGTGGATTATAACATATATGCTCCTGAAAAATTTATTTCGGTTGAGCTCTCTGAGGAGGAAGTGTAAGTTTGTAAACAGTGACTATTACTGCTAATAATGCAAGAGTCTTCGGTAGTCTTATCTCGGTCACTGTGTTTATCTAAAAATAAATACGTTTAAATTCACCTTCATCCCTGCGCCAATGGCTTAAAAATAGAATCTCCGACTGATGCCAGTTCAGCCAGGTTTCGATCCTCGCTAGAGGCAACCGGACGTTTAGCCACACTGATGAGCTGTGATACAGTGAATCAGTCTGTCTGTTGATGACAATGTGTGTGTGTATGTGTGTGTGTGTGTATACACGAGGCAGTGTCGCAACGTTCTCGACCCACCCAAGATTGGAATGGCAAAATTGGTCAGGCCTTGAACTTTATATGTTCGTCATAATTTGAAAACTGGCTACGTAATTGTTAAGCAAGAAATCAATTCCAGTATGATTGTGTACCTTAGTGTGACAAAACTAGGCTTATGTAGCATAGATAGATAGATAGATAGATAGATAGATAGATAGATAGATAGATAGATAGATAGATAGATAGATGGAGAAAGAGAGACAGAAAGAAAGATAATTTTAACGTATTTTAAAAGCTAAAAGCAAGAAATTCAAAAAGCCTAAGACAAAATCAAGATACTAAATGAAGGACATTTTCTAAACGAATGAATTACACCCCATGTATAATATAAAAATAATTTCTTAAGAAAATCTCTGATAAAGATAATAAATGCAAAAAATACTGAAGAAAAGAAAGAATTTATAGAAAATAACAACTTATTAAGGTTAAGGAATCATTTGGAAAGAAAAGAAAAATCTAGCATCCTCTTTACATCACACATTGCACATGAGTTGGAAGAAATAAGTGGCATTAAAATATCAGGCATAAAAAAGAGCAGATGCAAAAGGCTGTAATTTTGTTACATTTAGCTTGTGTTAGCCGAACTGTTCTCGCAATATTGGAACCAAATTTGTGGTCTCTAGAAATAGACCTCCCCGGTTCTCCTTATTTTCTTAATATATGCATATATATGGATCTGTAATTAGGCTATATATATATATATATATATATATATATATATATATATATATATATATATATATATATATGTCTCTGTGTGTGTGTATGTATGTATTCCTTAAATTGGACTATCGACATTATTATCACGACCATCATTAATACTTCTTTCTTCATCATTAAAACTTAGTAGTAGTAGTAGTAGTAGTAGTAGTAGTAGTAGTAGTAGTAATATAGTATATCTTGGGGTGATTGTTAGAGACTGAGTCACTCATATCTTCAGGTGCAACAGTTCCAATTGCGACAGTTATTATGGGTACAACCTTAATATTTATCTTCCATATTTTTCTTTTCTTGGGTGAAGTCCTGGTAATTCTCTAATTTCTTTCGTCTTCACACGTCTACAATTTGAAAAATCATTTTTTGCATTTTTTCTTGGCTTTCTGTTTCACCATCATCATCATAATCATTATTATTATTGTTATTATTATTATTATAAACACTTATTTATTATTAGTTCTTCATACATTTGCATGTTTATCAGATGTCACTTAAGACTAAATGACAGCAATTCTCTTTAAACCTCCGACACTTTCCTGGGTGAACGAAGCAATGCAATCGATGCCCATCGAATACATAATTTATCCATTTCAGTTTTTGTGCGTTTTGAAACATTGCTTCAAGTGCTTCAGCTATTACAAGCACAACTCTAACTTTCAACATATTTTGTATCGTCTGTCAAAATCGCGTGATCCGCAGATACGGCTATATTCATGATTTATATATTTACATATTTTTGTTGTTTAATTTTCTCTACTCAATAAAAAATATGTCCGTCACAATACAACAAAAAATAAATTTGAGAAAGATCTAACGAATCAAACATAACATTTCATGTTGACTAATTTCTAAGAAAACTTATCAGAACGACATAAACAAAATAAGAAATTCACCTAAAAATAGAAACATTAGAATCACCAGTTAGCTGAGGAAGTTCGCCAAAACCACCCAGAAAACACCCAGAACAGCAAAACAGGAAATCAATCTCAAAGCCAAAGAAATCACTGAACTCAACGCAGATTATTGCATAAACGGCTTTGCCGAATCACAGCAAATCATCATACTAAAAGACTACAAGCAAAACTTCAGAGCAAACAAAAAAAGCGACGTAGCAAAAATAAGTAAATTTATGAAGTTAACTTTAGTTGTAAATCGCAAAGAAGAAGAGAGATATGAAAAGGACATTAAAACAAGCCAAAAAGAAGTGGAATTCTTAAATGCTTTAAAACTCTACAAAGTATAAATATATGAACAGTACAGAAAACCAACCGACAACTCACTTTACACACACACTACCTCCAACAATTCACACAACATAATCAAGCAAATCCATCAGCCGTAGATTATGCTACAACTCAAAGAAATTAAGCAAAAAGCGACTATGAAGTAACACTAAGAGACAGTAGTTTTTCAGTAATAACAAAATCCAAAAGAAATTGTTCAATCCACTATATGATAAAAAATAAATATCAATATCAACAAAACCGTCACAAGATTAAACTCTATCTGCACCGAAAATACTAAAATTCATTAAAAACACACAACAGAAAATAACACCAGTACAAACAGTCACCACACCTACCTTTGACTACAGAACAAAATATAAACGCTCACTAAATAGTAACTGCCTCCAAAATACCGTAATATAAGAAGCAACGGTAAGATTCAAAGGAAAAACGGAAAATATATATAGGAAACAGAGAAGCTATTCACACAAAACATCATTTAACAAAAAATAATATGCTAACAACACAATTCTCTTAAAGCATATATGACAATGATAAACCAAAACACACCAAATATAATATAAAATACCAGAAAAACAGAATCAGTTTACAACACATTAAAACATAAAACTTTTTTATAGTGTGTAAAGTAATCATAATCTATTTTTAAAAACAAATAAAATAACTCCTAAACAAAAGATCAAATCTCATTTCCATGTTCAGAAACGAAAACAAGTACTTACTACGCTATCTACAAGTTAATAACCAGAAAATCAAATATTTCATAACCTAAATCCAATAAATTTTATTCCAAATACCAAAACTTATAACCAAAAAAATATACAAAATTAAATGAAATATATAAATGAATAAAATAAACTGTCTGGAGGTCATAACCATAAGCTTCGATATGACTCTTAATGTCCCAGTAATCTATAGAGAGATAGAGAGCTAAAGGAGTAGAAGCATAAGACCATTCAGTGTTGATTCCTATGTATATATATATATATATATATATATATATATATATATATATATATATATATATATATATATTTCGCTTAACCGAATCTTGGCTCTTATTTATTTATTTATTTTACTAACTAATCATACGATATGAAGTTAAAATGTATTTTGTGATTTTAGAATCAGTGAAAAATCTTTACTGGAGCCATAATTCAGACGAGCCTGAATTATGTAAGTTAAGCTAATTAAAAAACGATAACTGATAAACAGTTATCGTTTTTTAATTAGCTTAACTTACTCTTAGACAAATCCACAGTGTGGTATGGCATCCACTGCAGATCGACGTTGCTACGACCTAGAAGATGGATGTGTTAACAAATGAGCCCTACAGTAGACACCCATGAAACCTTCTTTTGTACAAGGTAATTATAATTTCGCTGTGCAATTTTGAAATTTGACTGTAAAGATAATTGTAAAAAGTGATTTATTTTATCTTAACTAACTTATAATTTTGTTATAGCTGCTAATTATTTCATTTAGAGAATAAGAAATACGAGCCACTGGAAGCGAAAATCGCATCGCGGACCATGACATCACACATGACCACGCGAGAGTTAAAACGAGAAGTGTTAAGTATGGGAAGCCGTTGGTATAAACCAATGGCTTCTGTTATCAGTTATAGGCATTTAAGTATATTTGTGGAGTTTTTATAGTTTATTTTGTACAAGTTAGGCTATCATTGTTACTATGCCCGTGTATTGTTTAATTTATTGTAATGTACTTGTCATTTCTGATGATGGCTTAGATAGAATTAAAAAAAATAAGTATCAATATGGTGATTTTCTTTCGTCTTTCAATGATAATGTTATTAAGCTTTTCAGACGATATGAATGGAATTTGCTTAAAATAAATAGACAAAACTTATCTATATTATTTAATGAAACATGCATTAATGAAAAGATGCTGCCTAAATACACAACACACACACACACATATATATATATATATATATATATATATATATATATATATATATATATATATATATATAGACAGCATATATTCATTTAAGCATAATTGAAAATAAAAGATAAAAACTGCAAATTCTCGAAACTCTACATAAAAAATTAAGCAAACACTAAATAAAATTAACAATGAGTGGAGCAACAATATTTTTAAAAAATTGCAGGTTGATTATTTTTAAAATATTAATAATAAAAAATTTAAACTAAGTTACCTCCGTTTCTTAACGTAAATTGACTATAACGGAGCGTGTTTCATGCGCAGTTACAAAAAAATTCACAACTGTCAATTACATTAATTTTTGTCTCAGCAATTCACCTCTGACGATGATCTTGGATGAGATTGAAAGTACTTTGGTAGATAAAAGAAATAACCAAAACTACGGCATCTTTCTTACTCAATTTTGTAACAGCATTAAGAAATTGAGCCGTGAATTTGAGAGGATTAAAATAAAAATAAATATGCATATTGCTATATTATTTAACCAAATATGCTTGAATATATATATATATATATATATATATATATATATATATATATATATATATTATTGTTTAAATATATATAATTTTAATATAAGCTAAAAACAGATTAACAACTATTTCATGGAAAAATTCAACATCAGACAAAAGTAAAAGCTAACTGAATTGCAATAAGTTTCTCGCGTAAATAACTTCAATAAATAAAAACATACGAAGTGGTACCCAAAAATTTCGGGACTTATTCAAACGAGTACATCGGACTTTACATGAAATCTTGTTAAAATGGTTGGAATCGCTGTATACACAATCAAAGGGACTATTTCGAAAAAAAGTCAAATTTTAAATTCCCCGTAATTTTGAATCGTTCCTCGTTTATTTTTTATGTAACTTTTAGTGTTTGAAGTGCAAGCTTCTTAGTAATAAATTGTAGAAAAATCTTTCTTTCAGGCTGAACAGCTATGAATCTATAGAACATGAGAGATATTCTTTTTGTGGAGGTTTTATGAAAAGTTTTATTTCCCGGGATTTGATGCTAGATTATTTTAGGGATTAAACTGCGTTGACCTAACAAAGGTCATAGAGTAAATGTTTTTCTCTCAGAGAAAAGATTGATTTTTTTATCACATATCATCAATGATTGACCTGTGTTCCAGACTGATTTATGCACAACACAATAATATTTCTTTCTGCAAAACGATTAATATCTTCTTTGGGTAAAAATACCTGCTAAAAATCAATAATAGTGGTTATCGACTATCGATGTGCTGCTGTAACTACGTCCAGCCAGTACAAATGAAGTGTGTAAATAAAGACGTTTATTA